TGTTTCTCTTTGTTTCTGTCTCTCTCCATCTTTGTCTCTCTGTCTCTGTTTCTTTTTGTGTCCCTCTGTCTCTGTCTCTCTGTCTCTCTGTGTCTCTGTCTCTCTCTCTGTCTCTCAGCTGACAGTGCCTTGGCATACAACTCTCCTGCAGTTGCTGATAAGTCCAGCATTGCTTTAACTTTAACTCGCTCCGTTGCAGGACTGGCAGTGGGAGGCATGCAGATTTGCTGTTTATAAGGTAGTCCTAACAAAAGTTTTCTTTCTCAGACTATGATGTCTTCCTCCACCAGCTGAATGCTTCTTTTAAAATCACTTTTCCCCTCTGGTTTACGAGTACTTCTCTCTTGGTGGGTGTTTGTCTACATGTTAGTATTCATTAACTGAATGGCCAATAGGAATGTGAGAGGAAAATGGGCGGGTCAAAGAGGAGGTGTGGGAATAGAAAACTGAGACCGTCAGCCTGGAGTTCTTTTCCAAACTTGAAAAAAAAAAAGGAAGCCTGCTGAAAGACGTGAAATCTGGTATCCTTTTCATGGTTCATACTTGGAAACAAAAATGAATTCTTTGGAGCATGAGACTTCTAAGAGGTACTGTATAAGGAAAACACATGTGGCCATTATCTGTGCAGTGGTGGCTGCTGTGGGATTAATAGTAGGGCTTTCAGTGGGACTGACCAGATCTTGTGACACATCTGAGGATTCTGGACAAACCCCCACCATACCGGGCTCTTCATCTTCAACTCCTTCAACTCTCCCGCCACATGAGGCCAGTCCTTGCCCTGCCAGTACTGATGAAAATGGCCCGTGGACGAGTTTTCGACTGCCCGCACACATCAACCCTGTGCACTACGATCTGGAGGTGAAGCCTGTGATGGAAGAGGATACTTACACAGGCACAGTCACCATCCATATCAATGTGACAGAACCCACCAAATACCTGTGTCTGCATCTCCGGGAGACGTGGATCACCGAGCCATCTCCTGCGCTAAAGAAATCCTCAGGCGAGGAGGTCCCAGTGAAGCGATGCTTTGAGTACAAGGCGCAGGAGTATGTGGTAATTGAGGCTGAGAATGAACTGCCTCGAAACGATGGAGGGAGCACCTATCTCCTGACCATGAACTTCAAAGGCTGGCTCAATGGCTCCCTTGTTGGGTTCTACCGGACCACCTACACAGAGGATGGAGTAACCAAGTAAACGTTCATTTTAATTCTTCCTACCCCACTCCAACTTTTTCTACCCCGCTTCCCCCCCCCCCCTCCTCTTGCTGTTGCTGTTTTCTCACACTTGGTTTTAATTTTGCCCATTCATATGGGACACAAAAGCTCTCACACTGTCTGTACTAACAAAAACATTTCAGAGCGCTGGGAAGACTGCACCAAGGGGGAAATGAGTGAGAGCCTTTTGTTGTATTTAGGGAAAACATAACAGAAGATATCTTGTCCTTAGCATTATTCCAAACTGCCTGGAGTTTGGCAATTATTGTACATAATTTCTTAAGATGGCAATAACGCTACTTTCTGGGATGGATGAGGATGGCTTAGATTTGAAAATGTCCAAGTGCTTTTTGAAGCAGGATCTTGCTAAATTTGACAATACTTTGAAAAGTGGGTTGTAACTGAGATACAGTGGGGTTAAATGACATTCTAGGAAGGGTCACTGTCACCATCAATATGACATATCAGTGGCTGAGTCATAAATAGCTGAATAGCTGTTTATTATACTTCATTGGATGGTGATATTAAGCCCAGGGCTCTGAATTGTACCCAGCTTTTCTTTCCATTTTTTGGGCATAAAAGACATATTATAGTAGTATTATAATGTAGTCCAAAAAAAAGTCCCCCACATTCTTTGTCAGGGGCAGAGCCAGACTGCGGCTTTGGAGGAGGAATAGAGAGAATCAGTTTTCTTGTGCTGCCTTGGAAACTCTTGAGTCTACCCTTTCTCCCCTATCTCTTCCCCAACTGTCCCCAACAATATGTGACCTTTTAAAAATAAGCAAGGTTTGGAATTCTTCAGTACCACGCTTGTGGGTCTTCACTGTTCCATTCCCTGCTCGAGTTCGATAGTAACCTGTACAGTACCGTCTCCCAAACAGATAGATTATTTTCCCTTTTTTAGAATTAAATTTTTACTTTTTTTTTCAATTAGCAAAAATCAGTTTCTCTCCCTCTCACATTCCTCCCCATCAGTGGAAAAAAAGAGAAGAAAGAGTAGCAAAACTCTTTTAAAAATATGCAGTCAAGTGAAACAGATCCTGTATCACTCATGTTTAAAAAATGACTCATTCAGTCTGTCACCTCATATTCAGGTATACTTCCTTAGTCCTCTAGAAGAATAGTTGGTCATTACACTGATCAGAGTTAAGAACCCTTCAGAATCTTTGAAGTTGTTTGTTTTTACACTGTTATAGCATAAATTGTTCATCTTTTTCTGATCACTTTACTGCATCAGTTCATATGTGTCTTCTGAGGCTTCACCTGCCACCATTGCTTTCATCATTTCTCATGGCTCAGTATTATCCCATTATGTTCATTTATCATTTGCCTCTGAGTAGATGGGTACTACCTTAGTTTCCAGTTCTTAGCTACTATAATAAGAGCTGCCCAATAGCTCTTGTTATTTATTTGTAGTAAAGAAGCAACTTTTAGGGGATCTAGGTGGCACAGTGGATAGATAGAGCATGGGGCTTAGAATCAAGAAGACTTATCTTCATGCGTTCAAATCCGACCTTAGGCTGTTCAGTTGTGTGCAACTCTTAGTGACCCCATCTGGAAGGGTGTGTGTTTTCTTGGCAAAGATATTAGAGTGGTTTGCCATTTCCTTCTCCAGCTCATTTTACAGAGGAAGAAATGAGGCAAACAGTTTAAGTGACTTGCCCAGGGTCACACAGCTAGTGTCTGAAGCCAGATTTGAACTCAGGAAGAGGAGTCTTCCTGACTCCAGGCTAGGCACTCTATCCCCTATGCCACCAAGCTGCCCCAAATCTCTTTAATGTCTTAGTAGAAGACAGCAGGATTCTCATATCTGTTTCTGCATTCAAGGTGTTGTGATATATTGTTTTAGTTGAAAGATATGAAAAAAATGTAATCTCACACAGATAATGTAATCTGAAAAGGGAACAGAATTTTAATAATAAAATAATGTCTTAGTATTATTATGAAAATCATTTTAACTTCAGACCCCTTGAAAGGGTCTTAGGGACTCCCAAGGGTCTGCCAACCACACTTTGAGAACTGCTGCAGTCCAGTAAGTAAGTAATTAGATAGTTACCATATTACATTGGACATGGCTTTATTTAAAAAAAAATACATTTTCTTTAATTTATTATTTATTTTAAATGTTCTTTTTTACATTTTAAAATATTTTGTATTTTATTTATTTGCATTTTAAATTTACATAAAAACTGTATTTTAAAATGTTTTACATTTATATACAGTACATTTTACAGTAAGTTTCAGAGATTGGATTTGAACTCAGGTCCTACTGATTCCAGGGCTAGTGCTGTATCCCACCTAACTGCCCCGTAACTCACTAGCATTGGTCAAATCACTAATGCTCTCTGAAACTTAGTTTCATAATCTGAAAAATGAAGACAATAATATTTACTCTGACCGTCTCAGAGAGTTATTATGAGGATCAAGTTAAATAATTCACATAAAGCATCCAATGAATCATGAAGTTCAATTCAAATGTCATCATCATCATCATTATCATCATCATCATCAAAATACTTCCATACTTAAGCATCTGTGTTTTCATCAATGAGGTACTCCCTTGAAAATAGATGACAAACCCTTTTATCCCTTGAGAGATGGCCTTCATGATTGGTGGGAGTTAAAAACATTTTCGTCTCAGAGGCAACCCTCTGGAGAAAAGCTTCCCCAAACTTAGTTAGACTGAACCTACTGTGACATACAGACAACATATAGACAATTTCTAATTCGTGTTCAAAGTAATTCCAACTTGGTGGTATGTTCCAGACCTTGTACTTCCTTGGCATAGATTTTGAGAACCCAGTATCAATTCCATAGCATAGGGAATGAGAACTCATTGGAAAGATTATCAACAGAATAATCATTTTTAAAGAATTAGGAAATGATACATAGACCCAAGCAGATTCTTAGATAATCTGTTTTTTAAAACTATTATTTACAATGACTTTAGACTTTTTTCTCAAGATGTGAACTCAATAAATATCTCATTGTGTTGAAATCATTGTGGTTTATTGCAGAAACTGTACTGCAGGAAAGGGAGCCAAATACGGAACAAGTTCTATGGCTGGCTTTATATCAGGCATTCTTGTCTGGAAATAGACTAAGGTCTATATCATTATAGCTATTTTAATTCCTTTTGCTGGGCTTGTTAGTAAGACCTAGCATAAGGAAGTTGTTATTTTTCAGTCACGTCCAACTACTTGTGACCCTTTTTGGGGTTTTCTTGTCAAAGATCCTGGAGTGGTTTGCTACTTCCTTCTCTAATTATTTTACAGATAAGGAAACTGAGGCAAACAGGGTTAAGTGACTTACTCAGGGTCACACAGCTAGTTAGTGTCTGAGGCCAGAGTTGAACTTACGTCTTCCTGACTTTAAGCCTGGTGCTCTATTCACTGTGCCACCTAGCTGCCCTGAGTTCAAATCCAGTCTCAGAAACTTAACTGTGACTTTGGGAAAGTAACTTCACCTCTGTCTGTGTTTTGGTTTTATCAGCTGCAAAATGGGGAAAATCATAGCAACTCTTTCCCAAGGTTATTTTAAGGATTAAATATTTGTAAAGTGCTTGGTACAAATATTAACACATGGTAGGTGCTTAATAAATGCTTGTTTCCTTTCCCATTATTGATATTTGTGCTGGAGGAAAACAAGGCAAGACTGAAACTCAGCTTTGCCTCATCGGGGAATCTGTAAATGTAAGACAAAATAGGGAGAAAACGATTGATAAGCAAGACCACTCAAGCTTTCTCAGGTTCCATTTTAAGACCGACCGATTCCAAAGTTTACCATGGGTTTAATCAGTTATCAGGCTTAATAAGTTCTCACATTACATGGTACATTGACAGTGCTTTCCAGGACGTGTGATTTTGAAAATATCCTGGAACAAATTGTAAAACCTTCCTTGGACTGACTGATCTTCTTTTTGTTATGGATTGCCAAGCCCTGATTGTAGGTTTATTTATAAGCTCCAGTAGTTTCCATCTAGTGTTTGGATTGCAGGGACAAGAAAGGGGAGGAAGTATGTGGGGTATAGGGAAGTAGTACAAGAATGAGTGCAATTAGAGCAGCATAATTATTTCATATAACAGAGCAGGTTTCATAATTTATGATAGTCATAAAAGTTAAAGGTCTCGCATCTTCAAATTTTCAACTTTGTAATGCAATTTAAAAGTAGAGTAGAAATTAACGTTAGCTCAAAGTAATTCCCTGTCTTAGAGATGAGTTGATCTACAGGGACGGTACTAATATTGAACTTGCTAAACCTTGCTGTTCGGTCACCAACCTGTTGGTATTAGATCTGTTTGACCAATTGGCACTCTCTCCCACCCTGCTCCTCTTTCCTTCTCCCTCCCGCCCCTCCCCTCTCTCTTTCTCTCTCTCTCTTCTCTCTCTGTTTCTATCTCTTTGTTTCTGTCTTTCTCTTCCTCTCTGTCTGTCTCTTTGTCTGTCTTGGTATCTTCTCTCTCTCTTGGTCTCTCTCCTTTTTTTCTCTCTTTCTGTCTCTCTTTGTCTCTTTCCTCCATTTCGCTCTTTCCTTCTCTCTGTCTGTTTCTGTGTATACCTGTCTATCTCTGTTGCTTCTTTCTCTGTTTCTGTCTATTTGCCTCTTTCTCTGATTCTCTTTGTCTTTCTATGTCTGTGTCTTTTTGCCTCTGTCCCTATCTGTCTCTGTCTTTCTCTCAGAAAGATTTTTTGCTTCTTATTTATGCGTCCTATAATGGCTGTTTTTTTTTTTAAATTTTGATTTTGGAAATCCCATTTGCCATCCATGTATTATTTGCCTCTCAGGATGAAGCATGCAGAGTACAGCTACAGGTCACAGAAAAAAAATCTATGTGACATTAATACATGTTAAAACCACAGCATTAGTAATCACATTACCCTGAATTTCTGCTTGAACTTCACAAAGTTAGGACTGGCAGAATTGGAGGCATCCCCCAGAAAGACCAGCCTCTTTCACAGTGGGCTACTCAAAGTGT